CCCCAAAACCCCAAAACCCCAAAACCCCAAAACCCCTAGCTCTTTAATTAATTTTGAAATAAATTATAATGAAAGGTAAGCCTTTTCTAAGTGGTCTAGGTAGGCCTCGTACTGGGAACCGACACCGGTTAAGGAACCATGTCCGTACTCAGAGCTTGTTTGATGAGAAACATACTGCCTTAGGAAAGCTAAAGAAAATAGAGTACTACTTTGTGGTGATTTTTAGGGAAATTTCAGATTCTATGATGCATGAGAATAATGATGGTCATGATATTAGCATATTTTCATGAAATGAAGGGATTAGAACCAGTCACTTAAAGTATTACTTTCTATTAAGAATTTCAGACTTGAAGGACTACTCTTTAGCAAAGAGAAAAATGTATCAAAAGGCTTGATAAATGATCTGGCTAGTACAGAATTCTCTTAAAATTTAGGAAGCAATCAAGGGTAAAAAGAAGTTACTAAAGTCCTCTCAGAACAAAATCAACTTGGATAGAGATGTTTGATTAGAGAATGTGAGCCTTACAAGATATGCCCTGAAGAAGGTCATCTCTACTTCACCTAAACCTGACAGGAATAAAGTACAGAGTTCAGATGATAAGAAAGAGGAAAATACTGAAAATGTTGATAATTCAAATATTTTAAATAATGTTCGGAGAGTTTATCAAAACCATCGGCCATCCTTGTCAGCAAAGCAATATCGTAATTGTATGTGATCTCTAAACCAAGAATTTTCTAACTCAGATTACAGGTTTTAAAGGAGGAAGCAACCCAATATCACAAGTTCCGAGTTTTAAAGACGAGGAGAAGCCTAAAAATGTTCTAGACCGTCTCAACATCCATGACCTTAACAACCACGAAAGAGGCATACTCGGGTAATCTAACTATAGATTGAACATATAGAGTTAAATAAGGCTAAAAAGGTTCCTAAATCTTCTGGCTTTGGGAAAGCTCTGACTAAAAAGGAATACGAGAAAATATTTGACAGAAAATCGAGCTTCTACGAGAAGAAAGCTTTTGTTGGTCTAATAAGGTAATTTAGAAACGACATAGAACATTTTGAAGAAAACATAAATTCTTGTACTCTATGATCATGAAATTTTATACACTTTAGAAAATAAATGGAAGGTCACAAAAGGCTATTGCTCAAAATTTGAAAAGATTCCTCTTTACAGGCTTAGTTCAAAGAAGTCCAGGACTAGGATTCCCAAGTAATTTTGAATGCTTTATTATTTTAGCCCAGATATTACCCAAAATTTAAACATGTAAGTGTTAAAGGCATCTCTGAGAAACAGCATTTGCATAATTTAACCTCTTTTAGAAATCAAAACGTTGGATCAGCATCAGCAATTAACATTTCCTACAACCCAGATTCGAACAGCAGGCCAGGTTCAGTAGTAAAGACCAGGAACTATAGCACTGGGAGGCCTTTGTCTTCTTCCATGAAATTAGCAAGGAGTTCTCGTAAAAGAAAGCGATCAGAAATTAGAAGGGTACAAAATGAGCTTAATTTTTCAATGAAGGGGAGAGCTAAGAAGATTCACCATCCTTACTCAAACCTTTTTGAGGAAAAATCAGTTGAGAAAGAACATGAAAGCCATAAAATCAATCTTGACATCCCACTGAAGGACTCGGTGATGATGGAAGAAGTTAAAGAGGATAAATAAGATAAGTGTTGTCAAAGTAGACATCAAGATTAATAACAGGTTTGATAAGAACAAACAGAAGATAAAGAGTGTCAAGAAGGTACGCAAGAAGCGTAAGAAGACTAAATCATTTGCACTATGACTAAATGTTCTTAAGAACAGGATTAAACGAAGAGAGTCTAGTGGTCTGAGTTTCCAGGAATTATTGAGCCAATCTCAATTTCTGTAAAATTTATTTACGATATATAGAGAAACTGATAGAAGTAAGATATCTCCAAAAAGAATGAGGCCAAAGATGTTTACCAATCCGTATACAGCAAGTTCCTTTAAAGAGGAGATCTCATCTTGACCACAGTATGTGAAACCCCAATCTCATGAACTAAATTTCAACTATTTTCGTGTGAAGTGGGGTTTTGGGGTTTTGGGGTTTTGGGG